GGCCCCCCCGGGGGGGGGGGGAAAAAAAAAACAGCGGGGGGGGCCCGAAAAACGAGGGGCGAAAAAAACCCCCAAAACACCCCGCCGGGGGACCGAAACCCCCCCCCCCACAAAAAAAACAGCACCAAAGCAAAAACAAAAAACAAAACACACAAAAAACTCCGCAACCCCCCCCCCAAAAAAAAAAAAAAAAACCCCAAACCCCCCGAAAAAAAAAAAAAAAAAAAAAAAACCCCCCCCCCCCCCCCCCCCCCCGCTCCGTCTGTCCTCTCGAGGACGCGCGGTCCAACCGCGAAGGCATGAAAAACATGTGTACTCTCCACTCCCAAAACTGTGACCCACCTTCCTTGTTGACCATGGACAGGAGGCTATCCGCCGGGTGCGAGATGATCGCCGCTGCGACACCGGCGATAACGCCCGATGAGAGGGAAACCCCGACCTTGGTGGCGTCGCTCATCTCGCTCGGCTTCTTGCCGATGGCGTTGCCGATCTTTTCTGCTGCGTAACCCTGCCGCCGCCGCCGCGAGAATCATCATCGCCCGTAGTTTTGTTTTTTTTTTAGACGCGGAGGAATTTTTAACCACATGAAGTGGGCGAGGGAGGGAGGGAGGGAGGGAGGGAGGGTGGGTATTAGGAAACGAGCCGCTGCTGTGTGTGCCTGAGTCTCCTTTCATGTATCTTGAGCGTTCGTTCGTGGTGTCGGGAATGCCGTAGGTTACATGACGTACGATACCACACCCCCTGGACCGACTTTCAAAGCTCGAATACTCCACGACGACGAGGATGCCGAAATTGAAGTAAACGGTGCCTGAAAACTCTAGACGAGACGGTTTAAAAGCCGCCATTCTCGGCACCGTCGCTGCGTTTCCTTCCGAGATAACGAGCTTCGAAAACCGTTCCAGGGGGTGTGATGTCTTATGCAACCTACGGTATGTTGCCAGTCTTCGACATACTCCGACCCAGTGTAGATTGTCTAGTGGGAACATTGTTTCCACAAAAAAAAATAGGCCCGAAGAAGCACGCAACAGACCTGAATGCATTGGCACCGCGGTCTTCTACTGTAGATGTTCTGACTCCAGGGACAACTTTTTCTCCAGCCTACTGAGCTTTTCCCTTTGTTACATGGGCTCGTGGAGCAAACCAAAAATCCCAATTTTTTAGGTCCTCTTTGAGACCCCGCATCTTTCACTGGCCAGCCTATACGCTTAGTCCATGCCAGTCATGCAACCACCAATGATAGCGTTGACGTTTTTTCTGTCCCCACGTCAGATCGATGACCTGTTTCATCGGCCACCTGTTAGCTCGGTCCATGCAAAAAAAACACACACACGTAACGAAACAAACGCCCGCAGTTTTCGCCGTGCTCCAAAACCTGGCATCTTTTCATTGGTCGAGCTCGTTGGCAACTGGTCGAATCCATCCTTGATAAACACATACCCCTCTCCGGGCATCACGCGCTTGCCACACACACACACACACACACATTTTTTTGTTTCTGCCGCAACGAGACTGACGTATTTTCGTTCGTCAGCTGGTTAGCGCAGTCGATGCCCGAAACAAAAAACAATAGCACTGCTGTTTCAAGCATGTTATGTTTCAACCGCACTGACTCGGACGTCTGTTCATTGGTCAGCCGGTTGGCGCTATTGATGCCAAAAATACACGCAAACCACACAAAACACACAAAAACAACACGCACCTGCACGGCGAACTTGGCCATCGTGTAAGGGATCTGCTTGAACAGGATGGGCGCGAACCCTGAGTAGAAGCCGCGGATGACGCCCTCCTGCCTGAGGATCTTAGGCACCGCAGACACGAGCCCGTCCGCATAGGTGGGGTCGGACACAAGCCTGATCCGCGTCGCCTCTAGGGGGCACAGAAACACGTCCGCAACGAACTCGGCCATCGCGGCCGCTCCCAGGTAGATGGGCAGTCGGTACTCCCACGCCTGCGGGAATGAAACCGCGTCGCCCCCGACCGCCGCAGGAGGAACGTTCAGACGAGTTCGGTTACCGTTGGCAAGAGACGACGAGCACGGCGTCACCTCTTCCGCTGATGATGAAAAATGCTCCTGGGCAACCATGTTTTACCATTTCGAACCGACAAACCGCAACCACGCTGACCCCGCCTTCATGGTCGCCGAGATGTCGACTAGAAAGCATAGTCCTGGAGTGTGTGCGTACTACAGCAAGAGTGAGAGGGATGACACGTCCCCAAAGCCGACTTTAGTGGCTCGATCGCTCGGTAACGGTCGGAACACGGGCCGATACGCGCCGAAAAACTGTCGACGACATCTGTCCAAGACCACCGTTTGATCGGCGTTGGAAGCCTCTTGCTTGTGGTTGTGGGGCATTCGAGCCATGAATCACACCTACGGGGTGTGCCATGACTCGCACGCTTCCGGCATCTTCCGTAGAGAACGTGTCCCACCAACTTGACTTTGTTGCTGGGACTGGGAAGGGCTACATGCCTAACCCGAACTGCTGCCACACATTTTTTCCAAACAGGGCCTGGCCTGACATGCGCCGGCAAGCCGTTTCAGCCCACGGTGTTGAGAACAGCCAAATAGGGTGCATCGCCGACAATCACCAAGGGCAACAACACCAGCAAAAACCACGACAGCAGTCCAGTATCCACAGCAACAGCAACAACAACCACCAACACCAACACCAACACCGACACCAAACCGCGTACGTACCTTCCGGGTGCCCAGCCGCTCGGTGGCCTTGACCTTGATGATCTCCACACCCCCGAACTTGAAAAAGCCCTGGATGAAGTATCCGACCACGGTGGGCCCGAGGCCTGTTGCAAGCGCACCGACGCCCTCTTTCTGTTTCGGGAGGTCGTGGAGGGCAAAAAAAAAAAAAACAGATATGGACGATCGATCCACGCAAAGCTTGAGAATCTGCCGTAAGCATGTACGTGTTCTGGGCAAAGGGTGTACAAGGCTGTCGGGGGACCAGGTATAATGCAGCACGTGCAAGCGGCGCTCGGAGCACATGCGACAGCCGACGACGACACCGACATTGCGGGGTGGGATTGGCGCGGGATCGACGTACTCGGCGATGCACAAGCCTTGGACCACCTCGCGAGAAGCCGCACCTTCAAAGAAGCCGCCGAAAACACTTCGGCTGCACCGACGATGAGCGGCCACCGTCCAACACAACCCGTGGATCCTACACCACCACACAATATGCTCGACTTACCCTACGAAATATTAAGAAACTGACCCTTTCGACACTCCCAGACCGGCTGCAGTGCAGTACACACACCTGGATAACTTGCGAGAAGCTGCCAATCATCCCTCGGTTGTAGGTGACGGGGTCGAGCTGGATGCGGGTCTTGACGACGTCGACGGGGCAGAGGGCGCCGTGGGTGATGCCGCAGCAGATGCCGCCGGCGAGCCCCCCCTTGAGGAAGTGCACCGCATCGAAGGGACCTTGCGCCTGAGGTGCCATTGTTGTGTACTCTGTCTGCCAGCGCAAGGAGTTCAAGCGAGAGCGGGGGGGAGGGGAAGGGGCGGCGTAATCGTGTTAGGCGTGCCGTAGCGGTTAGAAAGTTTTCGCGTGCCGTGGCTGTTAGACCGTTGACCGCGCGGTCCTCGAGAGGGCGGAGCTTTGTTCCCAAAGGAACGCATGGCCAAGCGTTCCTCCGTATGTAGTTCGCCAAAGGTGGCTCCAAAATGTTTCCCTGTCCCACCCGTATCACTTCCTGCCGTTCTAGACTTCTGCTGGACGGAGAGGGGTAGGGACACGGGGTAGAAGTCGGATTTGCGAATCAGAGAGCACGCCTCAAGTGCTCTCCAAAAAAAACAGAAAAATAATAAAAATAGTAGTGTAGTCGAAGCGGCATGATTGGGATGATCGGGGCCAAGCACGCCATGGACACTTGCGGACGGATTATACACGGTTCAGCTATGCGGGTAAAACCCGTTATTGTTCAAAGACGGCTGTCGTTTGCGTCAAAACCAAGGAGACAAAACGGTCGGTGTCAAAAGGGTCCAGCTGTGCCGCGGGGGCCGCAGGACTAGCTGTCTGTGTTCATCGATCTTTTCGCGACAGCCCTGTTTGCCAGCCACGACTCCGACCATGGCGCTGGAGCCATCCATACTTCACCCACAAATCCTTTTCTTGGAAAATTTGGTTCGGGTAGCCGTGGGAAAAGAGCCAACAACTTGGTAACGGGAACACATTTTCGTGGAAAATTATGGTTAAGGGGACCTTTGCACCATGGTGTCCATCACACGTGACCCCAACACACAGCGAGCTGTCATGCACGGTGCATTCCTCGCCGCGGATTGGTCAGATGTCAGAATGGCGAGGACGGAGAGCACCATGCTGCATCAGACACAGCTCTTCGTGTCCGATCCGCCACCTCCACTCCCCCTCCTCTCTCCACCAGAACCGGTTTTCGAGTGTGGCAACCGGAGAACCTACAAATACTTCTTCGCTCCTCTCTCTCTTGGGTCCTCTTGGTAACGCGCGGTGCCTGCCGCCAGCTCTGCTCGCGTCTCCACACGCTGCACCCTTTGTTTCTTTCTCACCTGGTTCCTAAACGAAGGAGATGACTATACTTCCTGGCACGCTTCTCCGGTCCAACGAAGCGCTCACTTGTTTTGGGGGGAGCTGGCAGTGGGAGGGGAGGGGGGGGGGGGATATATAACCGAGCCGCGGCGCAATCAGAGAGCGGGACGACAAAGACGACATAAAATACAGCAGCATTATATGCTTATAATAGTCGAAAGAAGAACTGAAAATCACGCACGTGCCATCGGGGGGGATGAGGGAGAAAAGATAGACGCCACTCGCAAGGGGAGCACGTCGCATGTCAGCTATACACACCTTGCGAGACGCAACAGAAAAGGGTGCAGCGGAGCGACACTCATTCATCGTAAAATAGAGTGCCTTGCTGTGTGCGCCTATGTTTGGGCAAGTCATCTTTAGCCTGCACGGAACAATGGAGGTGCCGTCGACGGCACACGCGGAAGGGATATTTGGATCATGAGAAGACACGTCACGTTCACCGATGGGAGTCAGTCGCGAAAATCTCGTGCCCTCGCCGAACCGTCACAGCTCCCAACGACGGTACACGACAAACGGGTGTGTGCTAATGTAATTAGGTGTGCGGCAGCAGAACCAGATCTGTGGTGCTTTTTTCTCCCCACGCCAGCGGGGCGAGAAGCAGTATATACGGGCTACCTGGGGGACAGAGCTTACGACAGATTGGATGTCGTGGCTGCTTTCGGTGCCTGGTTCGGATATTAACAGAAAATACTATCCGCTGCTGCTGCTGCTGCTGCTGCTGCTGCTGTGTATACGCGGGGCAACCGCCGGGTCGTTGTCGCAATGTTTATGTATGTGGGGCGGGTAGAGGCGGGTGTACGTAAGCAACGATCGATGTGTTTCATGGACGAGAGTTGTTCTCAAAAGGTTAGGCATGCACACACACGCCGCCGCACACGCAAAGCTCTCAATTTCGTTCCCGCGAGCAAACGGAGCAGAATCGTCTTGAAGACTGTTCCTGCTCGGTGGCTCTCCACCTCTGCCTTCACACGATAGACGTATTTGCACGCCTCCAAGGCTGCAGAAGACCATGGTGGGGGTCTCTTGGGAAACGCTGCCCACCACAGAACTTCGAGAAGTTTGACTACCCGCCGACACACCGAAAAAACAACGCGCGTGTTCGCTGTTTGCAAAGCACGTTCACGACGAAAGAACCGGCTGCAAAGTTCATCGTCTTCCCGCGATGTCGGTCGGGAGCACGCGCGGGACTGGAAAGAGCGCTGCATGCCCGCCACATAGAGGTGCTCTCCCGAGGTAAAAAGTTCTGCGCTGTCCAAACGGCACACAGCACCGCAGGGCATACAAGCTCGCCAGCGCACAAATGGCCAGAACATTCGTTTACGTTCTGCATTACCGGCACAACGACTGGGGCGGCTACGACGCCGCTGTGCAACGAAATTCATCATCTGGCAACCGCTGCACGCTACCAATTGCAGCCTTAAGCAGTCTCACCTCGGTGAAATGGCGGCAGTGAAATGGGCTGATGATGTGCAAGAAGAGAGGCCAGAAACGGACGACGCGATGACGCGAAGTTTCTCTTCGGAGGGGGCGACGGAGACAGAGAAAGAACAAATAGTGGGAGTATTAATGTTTTCGCGGAGCCCCTACGGCGATGTGACCGCAGTTCCGCCGCACATCACGCAGGCAGCGGCTGCTACATTGGTGGTGACATTGCTGTGTGCTTTACTGCTCTCGAGTGCTTCGCGAATAGGGATCATCATGGCCGACGTCAAAATCGACAGAACCAAGGTGCGTTAATTTCTACGAATCAAGTTGTTGTACTGCTGTGCCGACCCACACACTGGGCGGGCGATCCGTGATCCTGCCCTTTGCGCTGCAGCGATCCTTTCCCGCTCCCTCAGCGCGGTTAGCGCGGCCTTGTACAAACTGTGGCCCAAACAAGATCTCCACCCGTCTGTGGACCCCTTGGAGGGCACATATTCAACAACATTGTCTTTTGTCCGAACCTGCATGGAAAGCTTTCACTTTCATCGCACCACCGGCAGCAAATGGTGGTGTACAGCCGCAGTACATATGCAGTACAGACAGACGGGACCTGCTACGTTAGCTGTAACGCCGTCGACGTAAGTAAGAGGATTCGCACTTGCTGTGATGTGTAGGGTACAGGAAGGGGAAGAAGCACTGCTGTCGACGGTAGCGAGAGGTGAGTCGGGGAGACGTGTGTCGCCGAGCGCTCAGCCCGAGTGTAAGTATGCCCAAGAACCCGCAACATACGGCTTGTCCCTCTTCAGGGATGTGCCTCGGACAATGCGTGCGGCGTACTGACAGCAGCCGTTCCCGCGCGGTAGCTGCTGTAGGCTTTGTAAATGCCCCGCATAAGAAGCTGCAGGCTATCCACCGCGTGGCTGTGGCCGATACCACGGTCCACCCCCATTGTCTGTCAGCGACTTGTCCTCTTGCTGCACACTCTGACTGGAAGCATCTCGGACACCGATGCTGCAGCAGCGGTATTCCGCAAACCACGCAGTCATGGGTTCATCCAACCAAGAGATGTGAACAAACACAGGTTATCGAATTCGCGATAGGGACTGATTCCGTATGGCGCGACTACGGCAGGCCGGGCAACCATGAGCGATAGCAGGTGCCCACTTCAACGAATCCACATTTCCGCGTGCCAACCGGCAACTCTGTACCATTGAAGCGTCCAACCCGGCTGTTCGGTCCGATCGCGCGTGCGCGTTCCGCGCGGTGAACGCGAAACACAGGTGTGCCCGCTGCTGCTGCGGTGTTTCTGGACACAGAACCGACACCGGCGAGGGGAGGACTATTCCAACGTCAACAGCCTACCGCGAGACGAGCTGCAGATTTACACCTGGTATAGTGTCTCTAACCCTCCTTGACAGTTTAGTACTTGATAGCATTGCCCGAGAGCATCTCTCTCTCGGTGTAGGTACTGTACCGCGGTCGCCTTGGTTGTCGCTCCCCACCCAAACAGTCTAACCCTGTGCTGGGTATGTGTTAGCGTTGTCACGTCCGCGAGCACGGCACAACCCTCCTTCTCACGACAACGTCGTTCGCCCCCTTCCCCGCCCGGTCGGCCGCCGCCTAACCCCTAAAGGCCCGATGCAACTGTTCGGGAGATCACGACCTTGATCCAGGGCGTTGTTCCGGCGGCGAGGCGGCGCCAGGGCCGATTGTCGTACGCCTTCGTCTACCCGGACAGCCAGGGGAAGCAAGTGCTCCGGCAGGTAAAAACAGGGGATTGTTGGGTTGCTTCGTGCCAGGTAGTGGCCGGTTGCGCTGGGCTTGGTGCCTGCACGCATTCGGTGGTGTGTGGGGTAGAAAGAAGTCGGGCCTGCGTGTGTTTCTTGGACTACGGCAGGAGCGTCGACCAATACTGGCCAGTTGAATATCGAATGCGTCAGTTTTGGCGGAAAGAAAACAATACTCTCTAACCCACGGGATCCTCCAAATGGGGCCCGCGGAGGAGACCCGAAGGAAGGGCCTACCTAAGTCTGTCCCTTACGTTTGTGGAAGATGGGTGTACATGACTGGTAAAGCATCTCTTCGTTTTCCGTTGTCACCGCTGGTTGTTGTGGGCAATGTAAGGATTAATAAACCAATATCCTTGGTGCAATAATTTAGTACCCTTATCGTCGTAGGCGCAGAGAAGTGTGGAAACGGGCAGCGCGCGGGGGGGTGCAGCATCTGTAGGGCTGCTTGCCGTATTAGGTCGCAATACCCGCCGGCCTTTTCTCCTTGAGGAATCATCATCAGTCTACTTCAAACTTTCCGTACGCAACGAACTCCGTGTTACTGTTCGCAGCCTCTCACCGGTTTGTGATCTCGTTAGCGCTGCCTTCGCGTGTTCCATAGCCCCTCCACCGGTTCTCATTCACCCCCCCCCCCCCCCCTTGGAAATTATCCTGTTGACGTTTCTTGGAAAGGTGGCGAGCGTCTTCTCGGTAACACAAGGTCAAGACGACAACAAGACGCTACGCGACCTCAAGTTCCAAACGGGAGACTACATGGAGGTTGCGATCGGGTAGGTTAGCGGTCCTTGAGGGGTGTAGCTGGCGCCAACCCTGACCGTGCACGGCGCAGGGCGGGGGGGGCACCTACGCACCTGCCAAGTGCATTAGACCTGGTGTGCGTTTGGATCCGTGCCCATGAGTGCCACCCGGAGTCGAAGTAGTATTATGTTAAATTTCACGGTTTTGTTGGTGCTGGTGCTGGTGTTTCTCGTGGAGGCATGACAAACTTCGGCTTTTTTTCGGGGGAGGGGGGGGGGGAGGCATGCACCTTACATCGGCATCGTGCCGTGGATGCCCACGGCATCGTGAGACAAAGTACATGCCTTGGGGGGATGTCTCGCGATGACTGGAAAGCTTTCGACGCCTGCTTTTGTGCCCCCACCTTCGAACCCGGCCAAATGGCGCCCCTCACTCAGGGTGTTCGGAAAGACGCGTTGCTAGTTGTGGTCGTCTGCAAGAGTCTCCTTGGAAAACGTATCACGTCGTTTACCGCACTCGTGCGCTCAAGTAGTCGAAGTGACGACTCGCCCGCACGACGACAAGTGATGGATTTTTTTGGGGTGGTGAGTGAAGTCACGCTTGCGAAAGACCAGGCTGATGGTGGAGGAGTATGTGATCCATCTCCACGATTTTCGCCACCACAACGTGCATGCCAGAGGCGTGAAGTATTTTCAGGGAAGAGTATGCACGCCAACAGAAACACCTACACGGGATGGACTTTCCCCCAGCATCGACCACACCTCCCTACCTCAAGCTTTTGCTACTCGAGATTTACTTGCCGAAAAGGTACAAGAACACGAGAACCGTTCCGCGTTCTTCGGGCTGTCCCCTTCACCCCGCATTCCAGCACTGTGTTTTTAGTGGGGAAGGTTCTGGGTTGCCACTGATTGTGGTTCCGGCAGCGTTGTTCTCTGACGCGCAGATTCGCTTGTTGGTGGCACTTCGGTAAAGACGGAGTCTTCCCGTAGACTGCTAGGGGCTGCCACCAACTACTTTGGGTTGCTGTGATGACGAATAGGCAAGTCGGGCATCCATAGCAGCAGTTTTACACCCGAAACATGGACCGAAACAAGCTACAATTCCACGCTCGTCGACCAGAAAAGAGAGTCGGCGGCAAAGAATTTCGAGTCTAGCCGCGATTGCTGATCGCCATGAGCAGCCCGCCCTTGGCCTCGTGGTAGACAAGCCTTCCGCGCAAGTAACTGCGCGATGCCCGCAAGCACGCGGCAGCAATTGATGTCGGGAAAGACGCAAACAAAGAAGGAGGTCTGAGATGTTGTTTAGGTTCGGTACATGAGGGTCAAGGTGGGACAAGAGATATCGCATTATGCTGCCTGGGGAACCGTAGAACCACAAGTTGATCATCACACAACGCTATGAATAAATTGTTAGTCCATCCCGGAACTCTTTCCTGTGGAAGGCACATATTATTTGTTGTGTTTCTAAAGGGAAAACAAAACCAAGACGGCGGCCGCGCTCACGGGTGCCCCCCCCCAACGCCAGAGAGGAACGGACCAAAACGAAGACCAGGTCCCCTCTTACGTGTCATGTGTTCGTCGCGCACAGAGGGCCTGAAAGCTTGACAACAATGACCTCTGCTAAAGCCTGAGAAAAGCCCCACCTCTAGGAGGATGTTGTCCAACCGTCTAGTGACAAAGGCAAGGGAACAAATGATGTAGCCGCATCAATCCCTCTCCTGGCATACGTTTTCGCTGTGAGGCCTGCAACCGCAGCCAACCTCTTGTATGCAAACATTCTCACCGGAACTCGCCCCTTTTCAGCCTAGCCACGGCAACCTCCTTCGCCGCTCTCAACGAGAGCTTCCTTGCCTCTGCTTCCGCTTGTCGGCGCACTTCCTCCCTTGATGATGCCTCCAGCTTGGAAACCCGTGCTGCCTCTACGACTCTCTCGGCCTCCTGCTCTCTTTGCGTTGTTTCGAGTTTTCTCTCCCGCTCTTGCTGTCGCCATCTTTGTTGACGAAACGCATTGTTTGTTGTGTTTGTGTCGTTCATGGCGCGGCCAGTACCGCGGGACGGGCAAGGACATAGAGAGAGAGATAGAGAAACAGGTATGTGTGTGTGTGAGAGAGAGAGAGTTGACGAAGAATATATCTAGTTGTGACGGGTTCGTGACAGGTTGGTGAATGGGTGAGGAGCGCTCAAGTAGTATGGGCGGTGTAGCGAGAATATTTTGTGGGTTCAACACCTGGCCGGATCGTTCGAAGAGAAACGGAAACCTTTGCTTGACCGGACAAGCATCACGAGAGAATCGTAGAAAATGTGGAGGCTACATTCATCTACCTCGCATTGTGACGGCAACCTTGAACATGAAAATCTTTGCATCTTGGGCCGTAAGCTCGCTGAAGAAAACTGTAAGTACGCCGATGACCCACGTAGCAGAATTGCCTTGGGCCCGACTCTGAACCTTCTTGGCTTTCCTGCATAACTCACCGTTCTATCTTCTCCATCTCTTCTTCGTGCCTGGCTCTCTCCATGTTAACGCTTTTTCTCTTCTCCCTTTCTCGTGCCCGGCGGAGCTTCGCCTGGCGCTTTCTCTCGGCGGCGTCGGCAAGCAGACGTTCTTCTTGCTCCTTTTCCTTTTCCACTCTTCGCCGTGAAACCAACGCGCCCCGAGCGCAAAGAGCAAAGTTAGGAAATATTCGGTGGGTCATCAAACTTTCTTTTTTCCACTGACGGTCTCGTGCCATCGCGTGAGAAAAATTCTCGATGCCTTGATGCCAAGACGATCGCAACGACGTCTGCACCAGCAGTAACCAGAGAAAAACACCACGCACTTCCGTCATCACCTGGCGTCTTCCTCCTGCTGGTCTAGCGCTTCCCTTCTCCGCTGCAGCTCTTTCCGGGCGAGTGTTTTGGCTTTGCGCTCCGCTCTCGCAGCCCCCGCCCGGTCCTTTGCACGCCGACGAGCACTCCTCTCGGTCTCAATTGCCTCCCGTTTTTCTCTGGGAAGGAGGTGGTACCGTTATGGCACGGGCATTCCGGCGGGATGGCATTTCCAGCTTTTCTTGAAAATGGGGTGTGTGCACACATCACGTGGGCGGTGGCGCGCGCACGTGCGCTCTCGTACGTACCGGTTTCAATTCACACGTATGCCCTCATGGAATGCCCGGATAGGATATAACAGGCATCACACTTTGCACACAGGACAAGTGAATTGATTGTTCGTCGAGTCCCTACACTAGGCACGTGTTGGGTGAAGGCACCGGTGGAGGGGGAGACTTGGCCCGTGCACGTCTTTCGTCGTTAGGGGAGTGCTGTACCCACGCATGTTTTTCACCGCTATCGAGGCGGCCTGACTTTAAGGCGGGTGAGCGATCTACGCGCATGAGTGCCAGAGACCCAACTTGAAAAGATCTCTGCCACCCTTTGACCCTCGGGCGTGAGCCTTTCTGTACATCCTGTGGCAAAAGCGTGCAACCAGGGGCTCGAGTACATGTTCCGTCAAAACGTACATTTCTAGCCTCTCCTCTTTCGCGGCTCTCCTGGCCCGGGCTAGCCGCAGCTGCTCGGCGTCTCGAGCCACCGCCCTCGCTTTTAGACCCTCCGCGGCTACCTTTAATCACCATTGCAAGGGAAGCACAGGGTTAGGCGCGGAAGGTTTGTTTCCATAGATTAAGGTCAACCGGTGAACCACGGGTCGCTTTGTGTCGTCCGATGTCTGCTTCACCATCGACAGCGTACCCTTCCGGAGCTACACGTGCCATCATTTTTTCCTCGTAGTATGAGGTTGAATCGTTCCCCGAGGGGTCGAGCATTCTACACATTCACGCCCAACGTAAACGCTTCAGCGGTTGATCATTCACCCCGTCTGCCGTGTTCGCGGAGTGGTCGTCCTGCTCGCCCTCAGCACTCGTCGCTCCGGTGATGGCGCTGACGTCGTCACCTCCACCGCCTTCGTTCCCACCACCGTCGCTTTGTCGACCGACCCCCGATTCGGCTTGCTGTGCGCCTTGCCCCCCGCCACCCCCCGCCATCGAGTGGTCTGTCCCACCCCCTGTTGTAGATTCCCAGTCCGTGGTCCCCCCTGCGGACGTGCTGTCGGGGCCTCCTGACACGAACACGATTGTACGCATTTGGTCGCTTTTCGAAAGATTGGCGATGCTCGATGACGTGGTACCCGTTACAAAGAAAAGGCACCATCCACTCACTCTTATTCGTTGAGCATGTATGTGCGGTTTGCACCTGAGGCCGAGTCGCCCGTGGGTACCTCTTAAGGAGGTGTCTCCTTGCCCGTGCCCCTCGCACTGACCGCACGGCAGGGCTCGCACCATTTCGCTCTGCTGGTAACCACCCCAAGCAATCCTCTTATGCACCTTCTTCAGAGCAAGCACGGCCAGGCCCTCTTTCACCACAAACACAGCGAGCCCGCACCTGATTCGCAGCAGCTGTTCCCCTGCGGCGCCAAGAAGGCGTCGCGCTGTTCCTCTTCGTCCAAAGCGACCCCGTGAAAGGCCGCTCTCCTCTCGTCCAGGTAGGCCCGCGCGTCCACCCCGTCGCTCCTCATGCTCGAAAGGATGGCGGAGTGGGCGGCGTCCACCCCTCGCGCCAGGTCGCGGTAGATACCTTCCAGGGTTGGTTGCGTTTGACATGAACCACACTTATGTGGCCGTGCAGTGGTACTCGAATGGTAACAAACGAAACCAGGATGAATCAACAAAGAGCCGCTCTAATCCGCAAGAGAAACTAGACCAAAAATACGTGTTGTAAAACGGCGGAACAGATGAACATGTTCTGCCAAGGGGGGTTGTGGGTTACTACCACCTCCTAAGACGAAAGTCAAAAGTGCGGACAAACGAGCTTGGACCAACCGCCGCATATCTGGGTGCATCGGGAACGGTTTCCAGTATTTTTTGTCGGGACTGTCATAACGGCAGTCTCGGCCACCCAGAAAGCAAGACGTGTTGCGGATTGAAACGGAGGCCGGGTGGAAGAGCAACAGCGCGTAGGAAAAAGCACTCTCTTGCATTGTCTACCCTGAAATATCGGTGTCATGCCACGCGAGTACTGGCAAATAGACTTCTTCGATATGCGCTGGTCGGTTTCGCGAAAATAGTCGGGGGCAAGAGCATCAGAGGTCTTTCACATACCGCTGCCGCTGATGCTGCCTCGGCCGCTGAGGCCGCCCCGGGCGCTGGAGTTGGTGCCGGAGCTGGTGCTGCGGCTACCGGCGCTACTACTCCCGCGCCGGAGTGTCGGTCGACGGCCACTCTCGTCGCCACCCCGGCTAACGGCATCCCTCATCGCCACCATCAACTGCTGTAGTCGCTGTTCCTGGTCCTGTTTCTTATGTTGGTTCCATTGTGCTAACGACAGCGCGCTGGCAGTAGGAGGGCCAGTACCAAGAGCAGCTGGGGTCTGATTTACGTGAAGGTCGTCTTGGCCCCGCTTATCATCTTCGGGGAAGCTGTCTCCCGGAGCATTCGCCGCTCCTACACCTCCACTTGTAACACGTTTTCGAGAAGAAGGTGAGCCGCCGTGCAAGAGCCGCCGCCTTAGGGCGATAGTTTCTATCTCCTGGTGAGCCTCGTTGGCGGCGGCGGCAAGGCGGCGCCGCAAGTCAACCTTCCGGTCGAGCTTCAGCTCCTTCGCCTGTGCCAGCATTACGGATGGATGGGGGGGGGGGCGAATGCTGCTATGTGTTGCTTCCTGGAGCCTTGTTCCTGTCATCTGTGATGCGCTGTCGTGTTTGCGGCATTTCTGGGTCCCTTTGGTTGCATTTGGTTTCTTTAGATATGTGCCTCCTTGATTGGCTACCGTGGTTAGGCGGCAAAGCACGGAATACTAACACTGCACAACACTTGCACAATACTGCTTGTCTCTTGCTGCTTCAACTTCTCACAACATAGAGCAGCGCCAAAACGAAACGCGTTTGTTTTGTGGTTGAAGTTGGTTCCACTCCTTCGCAATTGGCCGATGGGGCCGTCGACAACAACACGGAACGTTGTACAGGCGTCTAATCGCGATTCCACCGAACTGCAACACACATGAAATAGATTGTTGATGATTGCTTTTGCAGCTTGGCTTGGAGGTCTGGCGAGTTCCTCGCAGCAGCCCCCAAGGCATGCGATGGCTACTGCTTGCCTCACCTCTTGGCCTCGAGTTTGGGCCTCCGCGAGTTTCTCCGTGAACTTGTCGTGGTCATGGCGCCGCCTCGAAATGGCCTCGCCGAGTTGCCGCGCTACCGCCTCGACTGCTGCATCACCCAGCGCCTAGATACGAGGACCCGCGGTTTTTGGAGACGCAAAGGGACGTGAACGATTTGGGTCACAACTGCGTGCCCCCGGAGGATTATGTCACCACTCTCTTCGGCACCGCGCCGCACGTCTCACCCAGCGAAGATCGTGCATTTTCTACCGAATCGACCCCTCTTCACCCGAAGCGGAGACACAGCCAGACTGAAATGTCTGCGCTTTCCTTTATTCATGTCAGTCGAAGTTGGCGCTCCTCGAATAGCGAATTCGTGTTGCTCGTCCCTTACGGTAGGGAGATCTCGGTTCCCATCACAGCCAATCCTAACCCAGCTGGAGACTGCCGAGGTAGACTGCCTTCAACCCTCCCTTGTCAGAACCACATAGCAGCATTGAGGGTGAACTTGCCTGTGAGACGGCTGCAGCTCCTACACCGCCCGTGCGCTTCCCTCGCACGCCAGGGGATGCGCCATCGCTCCCCACCCACCCGGCCGAAATGGCCCTTGTTGTTCCGAAGCCCGCCGGTTTGCGGGCACAATCTGCGTCTGGTGCTGCCCCAAGAGGCTTCGGTGGCTTGAAATCGGCACTGGCTCCTGGTCCTGTTCTTGCCCCTGCTGCCGGCGCCGCACCTCGTGGCTGCTGACGTTGGATGTGTTGTGTTGGGTCATGGCCGCCGCCGCGGTGCCGAGAACTGATCGTATCCAGAGGGTGTCCTAGGACCGCGAGGCCACACAACGGGCAGCAGTTCGAACAAGGCGTGGGAGCATGGGGCGGTGTCGTCGTCGTGCGGTCGCTGTCGCCTGACCGGTGCCCCCGCACGAGACCGCTACTGGTTCCCCGCTTCGCTTCCGCCACCTCCGATCGGCCTGCTGCCTCCGGCGAAACGCCGTCCGAATCGCCGCTTTCTGGGCGGCTGCCAACGCCGCCACTCTCTCCTTTGCCGCCGCCGCCGCTGCCTCTTCCGCTTCCGCTTCCGGTTCTGCCTTTGGTTCCGCCAGGATTCATTCTGTCGTTCAAGCCGATCGAACGTTTGGGCGCGGGAGGAGGCTTGTTTTCCTCGATCGCCGCGGTGATGCGAGCCCGGCGCTTGGCGTGGCCGAACGATCTCGCCCGGGCCTTCTGCAGCTCCTCCACGCCCACCTGCGCAAGCAAGAGCCGAGCCACCGACCGGAGAGCAGAGGCGCCTCGCGAAAGGGAGGAAGTGGCCGAGGAGGACGCCCCGTCCTTCTTCGGCCCCATCCCGGCGCAGATCTTGGGGATTTTCGACGTTTGTCGGAGGTGGCGCGGTCACGATCGGGCGGCCGGTACGCGAAGTGAGTGCCGTGCTTATGAGGGGAATTATGCCAAGGGTTGTCAGGACAGTCGCTTTGGGATGCCACATGCGCCTACGAATCGATCCGCCTCGTGTGGGCATGGACGCGTGCGTGAGGCCGGTGGTGTAGTGGCCCCATCTGAACCATACTGGAACTGAACACGATCACAACGAAGCCTCAGCGGCTGCAGGGCAACGTGCAGCAGAGAAACATCATTATTCGTATAGATGGTGCTCGTCGAGAGTTACGACTCCCGCATACCCTCTCACAACGTGAACTCGATAATATTGCAGCGCCACCCCGGTGGTAACGGTTCTCTGTTTGTCCGGACACCGATTCTCGAAGTCCTCTGGCGTTCTCGCCTACCCCTCACCATGCACATTCCCTTCACCCCACGCCGGTTCGCTGGTGCAAAGAGCGTCGCTGCCGCCCCTGCCAGTCCAGCATCGGACCCTGTCCCCGACCTTGCTTCTGCGCGTTCGTCACCCTCCCCTCGTCCACGCCCACCGCTATTTGGAAGGCCGCCGCCGGGGAAATTATCTACAAGGGGAGAAAATTCTGCCGAGGATTGGGAACTGCTATCCCACGAGGCGGTACTTCTTTGAAAATCCACCGTCGTCGTCGAAACGGATGGTGGCTTGCTCGTCGCTCCTCCTCCTCCTCCGGTTTCCTGTGGATGCTGGTCGCCAGGCGAAGTCGTGGTTTTGGCGTCGACGCTCTGTCCGTGGTGGAGAAAGTCAGCGAGGACCGCTGCGTCTGGGTGCAGGAAATTTCCGTGCGCAAGGACCACCAAAGCTCCCACGACGGCCGCGACTATGGCGGGGTTCGGGCTGCGAAGAGGACAGACCGTTTGTACAACACGCGAACACGCAGAGCAGATGATTGCGCCTCGGTTAGCTGCTGAAGGACACTTCGCAGAGGAGGGGCGAAAAATTCGGCGATCCGAGGAAGATGGGGGCTTCAAAGGATCGGCTGCCGCCGTCCAGTCTTCGAAGGGTGAGCCAAGATCAGCAACGACCCAATGGTTGGACGAGTTGCCGTCAGAACCATATCGACACTATATTTATTGCCTCTTTTGACACCCACCAGGAACGGTGGCCGTTTGTGAGAGTGTTGCCTCTGCTTGTTTTAGCTCCATGTTGGCGGCGCTTTCTCCCGGCCACCGTCGCCGCTGATTCGGGGGGGAGCAGAGCGAACCCCAAGCCGCATAGGCAGAGTCGGCGTAGTGCAAAAGTTCCGCAAGTGGCCGGGTCGTCAAAGTCCGAGTCAATCGCAGCCACCTTGGTGGCTGGGCCATGGCAGACAACGGTGAGAGCGCAAGAGAAATATGGTTATCGACCAGCAAGAGGAGGATATTCGCGAAGAGTCCAAGAACGGCGTCGAGGGTTTCACACTCCTTCGCGTATCGGAGGACAGAGACTCTAACCACAACGCACAGAAGACCAAGACGCTATAGGTTTGCCCCGAGTGCATGAAAGCTCAATGTGCCGGAACCCCTTTCCTGTGAACTGAGATGACAAGGGCCACTCGCCCACCAAGGCCCCGCATCAAAATGACCATTCGACTAGGAAACGACCGGAAGTCTGGACGATACACGTACGTACACAGCTCGGTAGCGGAAGGACGCGAACGACTCACTCCGCTCACGGCTCCTTTCTTCGCTTCTCTGGCCATGTTGTCGTACGTTGGCGTCCCCACGCGCTTGGCCATCGGCGGCGGTAGTGACGAACGAGCTACTTGTGGTTATGGTGGACGTGGCCGACATGGCCGTGTGCGCCTCTAGCTCTTCCTCCGCTCGAGGGGTCGGAGAGGCGGAAGAACCGGCAACCCGAGAGCTGGCCTGAAGGTGAAAGTTTGCATTGATCGGGCAGGCCGTGGCACATTCAGAGAATACACGCTGTAGACTCAGGTGTCGCCATATCCCTGGGCATCATTTGATCCATTACATCCCAAGCGTTTTGACCGCACTGGTGTCTTACTTTCTGGCCAGTACTTCCAATAAAGCCTACAAGTTCAGATCTTGTCATTCGAGGATTTCAGGGTGTGGGAGAATTGTTGTCAACCTGGTCGGGGAGGAGTAGCGCATTGTGCTCTCGCCCTGGTTCACTCTTAGTACAGTCGGTTTCGGAAACTGCAGATGCGGAGTGAGCCTCAGCCTTCATCTCTATGTACAGAACCTTGACATCGGAAAACTGCACACCAGGGACGACATCATCGTGTCGCGCCATACTCACCTCAAGAGCTTTTAGAAGAGACTGCGCCCCATCTTCGATGTCTTCCAGCTGTTGGCGGCAAGGAAATCAATCATCGCGTGCGCGTACAGGACAGCCAGAGAAAATCGTTGACCATGATGCATCGTGTTTTTCTATGGGCGTTTGTGTGTATGCTGTGGTGCACCTTCACGTGGGTCTACGGAGAGAGAGAGTTGAGGATGTTTTGGATGGCGAGAGACGTGTGTCTGGTGGTACCCTTTTCGCCGAAGCGCGCCTAAGCTCAGCAAAGGGGTGATGTTTCCCATCCTCATTGCTGAACGTAGTTTTCCGGCCGTTGGGTTGGGCCTCTATTATATGCATTTGCCTGTGATTCCAGTATTCTGAACCGAACGAGAAGCCCGCAAGCCATCCAGCTGTGTTCATCCACAGGCGCAAGGCCGCCACTATGCCATCAAAGGGAAAGTCCACACCACTTGAAGTGGTGACAAGTAGGGATGAATGTCTCACAAATTCCGGCCGCACGTCAACGTGCCCTGAACACGAACGTACCATGGGGTGGACGAGGGCGTGCGATGCCAGCTCTTGGGCAGAAAACAGCTGGGTTGATGGCCAAGAAGGCTCTTCAGCTTGCTGGCCGTCGTTATGGCCATACTTCTTGGTCACCGGGGACGGCATCGCCGCGTTTTGCGTATGTCGCTTTTCCTCCCCGTGCTGCTCTTGCTGCTGCTGCATCTGTCGAGAGGCCGGGTATTGAACCACACCACTGAGAGCCCCGGCGATCAGCACGGGCAGAGAGATTTCGGAGGTGAAGTCATCGATACGGGCAAGTCGGAACGCCAGAACGATGCAGTGCAGGCCCGCTGAGCGCTCTATTCGCGAGGATAGGAGGTCCCCTCCGGCAACAATTGTAGATTTCACAATGCGTTCGAAGGTGCGGCGATCTCCGACGAAGGCTTGCGCGAAGGATCGGTCTCTGTGCAGGAGGCCCTCCAGAGATCGGCAGAGGATCGGTCTGATACCACCGACATTCCAATCCATGTTCCAACGCTGCAAGCCTCCACAAGCTCTGCGATCCACTCTTACGCCACAGACTACGCACCAGGGATTTGCAAGGGTTCAGCATTCACTCGCCACTCGCCACTCGCCACTCGCCACACACCCACGCACATACAAAATCAAAATCGGCCAGACTTGTGCCGGTTCGTCCCAGCTACCCGATCCGATCGTCCGATCATGACGTTGGAAACGTGGAAAGCCACGACATACGACAGACGCCAGGTGCGAGCTGAAGCAGTGCGATGCTCACCTCTTGAAGCCGAGCACGAACATATACAAGGCAGCGTTCTACATGGGCTCGTTGCACTGGGACGATCACGGAGTTACCAGCCTCGTGCAGTCCCGCACCGTTAGCGCAACGCTGCCTGTGGTACTCTGCGCTGCTCACGGCGGGAACGCCGTAGACGGGGACCAGTCCGAGACGCTTCTGCAAAGACCTGTGGTGAATCCTTTGCCACGAGGAAGTGTTGACGTCCCCGGTAAAGCCAGATTGGCACGGGTAAACCTTGTCGCCGACGTAGGGACCTCTCAGCTGCTGGAAGAAATCGATCGACGATTGACGCACAAGTGCAGCAGCTGCGGCAATGGCGGCTTTGCAACGGCAGTGAGATCGCCAGCGGCGGTGGTTGCCCGGTTCCACCGCAAGTTTGTAGACGCCAATAGGCCACTCGAAGACGAAGATGCCATGGCGGTGCATCCTTCCTGCACAAGAGCGTGGGGAGTGCACCAGAGCTACCACCAAGCTATTGAGACCGCCATCGGTGCTTTGGAGTCCCGCTTCTGCTGGACACAGGCGGCACGGCCGAGTGGCAGAAACCGAGAAGAACGGGACGAGGAAGAACGTGGGAAAGAGACACCCCGAGTACTACTGCTAGACGTACACGGCCAGTGCAAGTCGATCGACAACGTGCTCATAGGGACTTGGTAAGCCAAAGGGACTTATATTTTGTATCGGCTTGATTTGAGCGTTGAGTTCTAGTGGGAAGACAGTCAGCCTTACGCTGTGGATATCGCTCCTCTACGTGATTCCGTTCAATGTCTAGTCTATTGTACATACATACATGTTTATCCTTTCTTCTTGGTTCGAGTGATTTTCGTTGAGTTTTCATAGAAGAGCAGCCTACAGCAGTACCAGGAGATGACATTGACGGTACGGGGGCGGGAAGCGGCAATTGGTGGTGATGTAGAAACCCGCACGACAACTCTGCAAAGCATTTTGTCCCCCGCCCCCGAATGGCGAACCCCCCACGAACTAACCCGGCCAATGCAACAACGACAGCAACGGCAAGACAGCCAACCTGGAGGAACTCAATACGCCCCATAAAGGCTTTCTGTGGCACCTGAGGCGGGCCTTCAACCCGAAAGAGAGAGGAAGAGACGGAGACGTCAGCACGGCAGCGGCAACGGCCGTCAGAAACCGCGGAGAACGAGAAGGAGGGGCAGGCGGAAGAGGAGAGGGAGAACAAGAAGAAGACCGACAAGGGCGGGAGAAGGACGCTGCGAACGAGGAGGCGACTACGAAGCATGTCGGAAACGGCACGAAAAATGAGGCAGCGGTGGTGGTGTTGCCGATCCACGGGGAGAAGGAAGTCGCCGGGTACACCGGCGGTTATACCGTGCAAAGACATGCGAGGAGTCGTGCAGGAGAAGGCGCGGTAGTGCAAGGAAGACCCACACAAGCAGCAGTAGAAAAAAGAGAAGAAGAGAGCAGGAGAGGAAGCAATCGGGGATCGTTTGCCGTAGATGCCGTCCAGCTAGAATTCGGTACGAGCTTCCGGCGCACCCCCGAGGCTCGTGCCAACGCGGCCGAGGCGGTTGCCTGTGCGATTTTCGACCACCTTCAGCAGGACCAAACAAACTGGACACCATGAATGACCGACGACCCAAGAAGTTGTTCACGGGCACATTTTTCTGAGTAGAACCAGGGTGAGCAACGCGTTCTCAGTGTCTTACAGGTGTGTGCTGACCACGCATTAGACTATGGTGTGTCTGAAGACATCAAAACTACATAACTGCTGTGGGAAATCGCTCACAGGCTTCCCGTTTTTCGTTTTTTGGAAAAGTGTAGCATGGCGATGACCGCGGTCGGTTCAGGCGACGATCGAATCATGCCTGAGGGTAGGACGCAGGCCGTGTGTCTTTGAGTGGTGGTGCGTTTCGTACCGCAGTAGGTGCGACCCCCAAAGGGTACACGTTACGCACCCTGTCGATAGTTCCGGCTCATCATGTTGGTATGTTTGGCAGCCTAATGAATGCAACGCAGATTCACAGCAGTTACAGTACCGTTCACGGGAGGCTATGCTCCTCGGGAAGAGCGAAATCTGAAACCATCGCAGCGATGATGACCGCGACGTGATGTCACGGGCTTGTCGCACGAAACAGCAGTTCATCTTCCTGCAGATGACTACCTTCCATTGGCAACAGCAACGACGTAAAGATCATGCCTTTACGTCCCAAACGAACGGGAACATAATTGTTGTGAACCACTTCAGTCTTCTACGGTTGGACGTATGTGTGCCCTCATGTCGTGAAGGCCAAAGTCCGGCCGATTTACGCGAAGGAATTTCCACCATACGAAGAGAGAACGTGTCTGACAGCGTGTAGCGCAAGAAAGCCTCAATAGAGTTCAAGGGCGCAACTACGGTAAGCAACCGTGTTCTCTCGTGGACATGGCAAAATTTTGGCATTCGGTGACTCAGCCGTGCTTTTGATTATTGATTAATGCCAGCGCCGGCTTCTTCTTGAGCCACGAGGTTCTTCCCCGCCCCGCATTAACAGCCACGGAAGAGACGAAACAAGAGAGCCGTCAAAAACTCCTCCAAAACAAAATAACTATATATACCTCTACACGCTACTACGAGAAACGTATTGTACAGCAGTCAGAGCCCCAGAGCAAGAAGAGCGCCGGCTTGAGGCCGCCGCCGCAGCCACGCTCGCGGATGGATCCGATCAAGATTGTTCGCCTGCCTGGTGGCAAACGGCGCCTCGAACGTGAGAAGCGTGCTCGCGCGTGTCCCTCCCGTTCTCGCCGCCCCGGTGACTTTTCCCCGTCCCTCTCCAAGAGAAAAAAGCACCTTCTACATGAGGCCGTACTGGATCTCCATGGCCTCGTGAACGCGGAACCGCGGGCCCTCGGGCCGGTCCGCGGGCGGGTCGAGGTAGTCCTCGAACTCCACCGTCTCGTCCCGGCCGAGCACGGTCTCCAGCCCCAGCATGGAGGACGGCAGGCCGGGGAGGTGTTGTGCCTGGTACGGACGGGAAGAGCAAAAAATGAGAGTGCACATGATGAGTATTAGGGGCACTGTCGGGGTGTTGTAGAACTTTTCTCTAGCGTGGGAAATTATTTGTCTGAGCAGGATTTGGAAGGAACGAGCACGACGTCTCCCACAGCAAATACCTGACTTACAATTTGTTTCTCTTTCTCTTGACTTGCCCTCGTCATGGAAACCCCTTACGAAATCATTCAAAATGAACGGGGGGTGGGGGGCATGCGATCTGATTCACTTCCCTCGCTACCGAAATGTCCAAGTTACTCCACCGCCGCCGTGCCATAGAAAGCAGCTGCAAGTCCAAGTCACCTGGGAGAGCGTAGCCACCTCGGTCTTCATCCGCATTACGAAAGCGCTACCGTAAACCTTGCCAGCGAGGTCCATCTTGAAGTCAAACTCGTTAGGGATCCTTGCCTTGTTCATCGCCTCCAACGGGTGTCCCGCAGATGCGTCCTGTCGTGTGTGCCAACCCGGAAATGGTTCAGAATCTCGACAACATTTCATACCCTGTACAACTGCGATAGATCTATGTGTTTGGCGAAACAACAATTTAGTCAGAATGTTGTGCAACTAAATACCCTAGTTGTGTAAAAAAAACTCCGAGTCAAGCCCGTAATTCGTTTGGTTTAGTTGCACAGGGTGTGCAACATTTTCATTGGTGCTGTCTCCTGTCAGCCAGGGGATGGCTGCGGACGGAATGCTCGCGCCGTGCCGTTGGCGCATAACTTCCAACGATGTATGAGAGGTGATGCTTTTGAACGAGAAAGAGGGTATGTAGCGCTTCCATAGCGCCCCTGTGGAACAAGCCCTCGTGCACGGAGCGGTTCGGTACAAGCTGCGTTGTGTACCATGGCGACGGAATTTTATCATCAGCAGTGCCAGCTGGGCCTTTGTCGACGCTTTCGGATTTTTGACCGGCGAGTCAGGTGCCTGGCGCTGCTTATGTGTGACGCTGCATTGCTGCCTGTGAGTTGGGAGTGCTACGCGTACGGTCGCAAACGTGCTTTGGGTGTTCCGTTTGGGTGTGGCAGTTGCAAGGAAGAGGCACGTAGACCACAGCTCTGTACGCTATAACTCACGTGCCTGCTCTTACGTGGGAGAAACTTGGAGTTATTAGCGCCACGTGAACAAAGAAAATAGCAGTACTGAAGCCAAAAGGAGAGCAGGACGACGCACAAACTGAACTGAGATGAGTATTGGTAGTGTAATGTATAGAGCAGAGGGGCGCGAACTGGACACCATACAATAGCTTCTAACCCGTTGTCTGTGGTACAACTCCCAGCCATAACGCAAGCTTCTAGCCACTGTCGGTCCCTGCTACAGTACAGTACCACTGCTGTAGAAGCTGCGGTGAACAAGCAATGCTTGTATGTCAGCGTTTGGGTGGCTCTTCGCGGCGCAACTCGGGTGACGGAAGATACCACCCCCCCATTCTCCACAGCAGTAGGTCCTCCAGGGCGGTTGGCGGTGATACAGCACTGCCACTTCGCGCCAAGGAAGACTGCTCTCATACTAGCAGCGACGTGAACTTTCCGAATGCAATTGTCGACCATCAACCGCAGCGGTCGGCGCATGGCACTGCTGTTTCAGGCCCAAGCGAAAGGTACTCCGAAATCCAAAGATCTGTCGGCCTTGTTGCTTGGCCGAGCTCCTAAGTGCCGTCCAATTTTCAACCGTTCTTCCGTGCCGAGATGCAAAAGCATTGTGATATCGACCAAACCAGCTGCAGATGGTGGGTACTTCGCGCGCCTCACCTGTGCAAATGAAGAGAAACCGAACCGCATCTGGTCGTGCGGCGCTCTCGCCATTGGCATCGCCTTCCCCATCATCCCGGCCATCCTCTCCTCTCGCTGTCGTTCTCTCGCTGTCGCTTCGTGCAACGACGAAGGGGGGTTGATGCAGCTCTATCGAACGGTATTCGGCGAGCCAAAACAACGGGGTCGACGTTTAACAGCTGAAGTTTCTGTCTCCCTTGGGGTTATCTATCTCCCTCTACCTGCTGCTGTGGCTCCCTATCTGTGCAGTGGTGTGCGAACTCGGGAGATAGCCGTGGGGGCACGACATATCGATATTCGTGTATACCCCAAAATGTCAGTATCTGGAGAGCCCCATAGAGGCTTTGGCTTGGCACGCCGCTCGGAGGCTGCTGCTGAGTTGCCCCACACCAGCGAGCAGCTAGCGCAAGAGAGAGAAAGAGCGAGAGAGTCAAAGGGGAGGAGGCTCAGAGGGAGGAAGTTCGACGTGAAGAGGGTGTGGTGGGTTGTCCACAACACGACGATGAGGAATCGGCCGGTAGCAGAGAAGTCATGTAGAAAGGGACGGAGGGGAGGAGGGTGCGTTGGCACGTGGCTGAAGGTTGCAGCGGTTGGCGTGCTGGCGTTCTTCGCTGCCGGGGCTGCTGCGTCTGATCGTTCCATGCGGGTGAGTGAGAGACGATGCAGAGCGTTTTATCGCCTTGTCGCCTTATGCCGACTGCAATTGTCGCCGGCAGGCAGAGTCGGGCACCACTCCGTGTGAACTCGATGCCGCATTCATGTGTGTGTGCGGCAGCCGTGGAGTCGATCCTTAGCACACCGATATACCCTGTGAAGCCTTTTGCAGCAGAGCACCCTGTATGCATTACCCAACCGTCCTCTTACTCTCTTGTCTCGTTGGTGCCTTTTGTGATTGGCGCGTATAATGAGAACTTCGTCTCATCTTGAGAAGTTGAACATTTCAACCGGGGGTTGCTGGGCGCTCGGTGGCTCTTTTTAGACATGAAGTTCAAAGCCCGAGGTCCTTGATGCATAACGACCATTTTTACTTGATCATCTCGTGGGATATCCGTATGTAGCACCAGCGTAGTCAACTAGCAATTGCTCCGGCTGTGGCGGTGATACAAAACATCTAGCAACGCTATTGAGTTATTTGTCTTTCACGTTTTTGCACCCGCCCACTGGTGGTCGGATACATTAGCCAAACTCCATCGAGAGCAGCAACTACACCGGTACATAAGCATGTTGTACAGGTCAGGTCCGAAAGCTCCGTCAGGTGACCACAATGCGCTCTATTTTTGCAATCCGTATGCATACATACATAGATAAGTTGAGACGCGGGTGGCGTTGGTACGGTGGAGGTAGACATGTTGTCCGTTGTGCGCTACTGGCGTTTACAATTGCATCAGGATGGAACAGTGGCGATTTCATATCGTTGTACAATATGCCCGTCAGAACTTGAGCGTACCGATTGTGAGCCAGGTTAAGGACTAGACGAAGCCCTACCTTCGAAGTGTTTGGCTACACTAAAACCTGGTTGTACATTGCGGCCATCTGTAGCCTACTATCATACGAACCCCAACGAAAACTAGACGGGGGGGGTCGTGTCGCAGTCTGCGTCGCCCCCAAGTGTATAGGTTTTAGTGTGGGGTCTCTATTGTGTGGGCATCATCTGTAGCTAGCATCGGCATCGCCTTTGCCTGGGCAAGGCGTGTGGGCGCCATCTGTAGCTAGCATCGGCATCGCTTTTGCCTGGGCAAGGCGTGCATACATTGTTGTGCGCATGAGACGTTATATGGTGGCAGAGCCGCAGTCTCGCGGAGAATACCGAGTGTGAACGCAACAGCAGTGGAGGGACCGCTTTCGCGAAAAACTAAGTTAATGAGGAATAGAAAAGGGATACGTACGATTGCATGCTTAGTCCAACATGTTTGCTTAGTAGAAAAACCTGCGAACGCTACTGTGATGCTCCTCGGCCTTGGCGGCCTGTTTGTTTTCCTATAACCTCGACTTGGGAACGTAAAAGCCATGAAACCGTATGGTGTCCGCGCCGCCCCTCGCCGCAAGCCCTGTTTTGACCTCTCCTCCGGCGTGTGTTTGTTGATCACCTCAAAAGAAACTCCTCGCTCCTTACCGCACAAACGAGAACTGTTGAGTGATACCGGACACTTTGACCGCGTCAACGAGATGCATGCGTGTATTCAGTGTTGTTGTCCTTGGCGGTGGAGTAGTGAGCGCCTTCCAACTATGTTTCCCACCCGGAAGTGGCTCTTGTCCGGAAACTGGTGCCTCCCAGCGTAACGCGTAACGCCTTGTCGTATTTCTGCCATAAACTGCCGGCAGATAAGTATTGTATACAGAGAGCGAGAGTCCCCCCCTCTCTCTCTCTCAGCGGAACGCCCTCAAGAGGGGAGGTCTCAATAACCCTCCCTGTTGTTGTTGAACGTGCTGGGATCACAGACCACGTACACACCTTTGGTGCTTGCGGCTCCGCAGAGTACCGCGCTTGACCCACCCCCACCCCCACCCCCGTATTCTCCAACACCCGCTGTGTGTACACAACGGACCTACAACATGAAAAAAAACAGGTAGGCGGGATGGAGAAGTACGGCGGTCTGCGGGAAATTTCCGACAACATTCGTCTTCAGTTGGCGGCACTCCGTTCCCAAGTCGGAGGCGAAGAATCCCAGCTCTCGAAGGAGGTCAACAGCGTTCCGCCGAAACCCCTGGAGGTATCCATACATGCCAAATGTTTTTTGTTTTGAGCGCACGAATGCTGTTGTTTGCTTTTGCCATGTGTGTGTGGTTTCCACTTTGCGGTTGCGAGGAAAAGCCGAAAATATGCTATTTTGTTGGGGCTTTCCGGGAAATGATGTGCTCGCGTGCCGTAGCTTGAAAGTTCCGATCCTTGTACGTGGCACGCGCACCCCATTTTCCTTTTGCCCCAGGTTGGAGATGTGCGTTTTTTTTCTCGAGGAATGGATTGGGTATCTGCTTCCTCTGGATGATTTCCATTTCCGAAACAAGAAGATCCGCTGTGTACCCCCTGATTACACAAACACTCTGCAGTGCCCCCCCCCCCCCCGCGCGCGCGTATGGGGTCCCCAGCAGCGGTACCGCTGTTGCCCTGAGGGTGCCCCCGGCGTCAGAGTTGCTACCAATAGGAGCGCTAGATGTTGCTGTCTAGGTCCTTGAAGCGGAGAGAATACGACAAACAAACGTGTCATCAACAAACAACGATCCGCTGCAGGTGTTCGAGTACGGCCCTTCGCGACAGGCCTGGATGCGCGACCCCGAGAAGTACAAGTACCAGGTGCGAGGGGGGGGGGGGGGAGGAGTTGAGGTAGAAGGTCAAGCACCAGGTGCGAGAGAGGGAGGGAGTTGAGACAAGTACAGGTGCGAGGGAGAGAGGCAGGGAGGTACATATTCCCACCAAGCTTGCCTTCTCTTGAGATTTGTTATGTAAACAAGACGCGGTTTTTGCGAGATCAGTCCATCGCTCGTGATCTACCGCTGCCGGCTTTTTTGCTTTCGAGAGGACAACGACAACTATCGCAGCACCAGTTTTTATGACGAGAACCTAGACATCCATTTTGAAACGGTTTCTCACGACGCCCAACACCGTCGGAAGCTTCGGATTTCCAGAACATTGCTGACGTGTTTGTGGTTCTTTACTTTGCATCGACCGGCCTTAACCAATGAAAAGACGTCAGCCTAATAGGCGGAGAAAACACGCCCTAGTCATAGGGTTGGGGGACGCAGGGAGTGGATGGCGGTGTCCAACACAAGTCGACAAACCCCGCTCCTTCTTTATTAGGAAATTTACATCCAATCAAAGAAGTACTACCCTTTCGAGATAATACCACAGCACTGGAAGGGGATGTGTTGGAGTCCGTGCAGTGAATGAAAAGAGAGAACAGCCTGGATGCTGGGCTTATTTAGAGTCTGTTTAAGCTTAATACGCTGAATTTTCATCAGTGATGATGTTCACAAAAGCACTGCACAGGTATAAATGTTCGAGAGATTACTCTTTGATCTTGGCGGGATCCTCCTGCGGCATACTGATTTCGGTGACAGTGCACTGTAGTCTCGATGTTCCGGTTGGGTTTTCGACCTCACCTCATATCCATGTGGATTTGATATGTAGTCCCTACAACAATGTTCGGGAGCCGCCAAAGGTCGTAGAATGAATGCGCCGGAAGGCCGCGTGAGCTGCACTCACTGACGTGAGATCCACACAAGAATGCTGTGCGTTTGGACCACGCCCTTTCCACAAAATTTCGGATTTCGACATGTCCCAATGGACCCGAGATGCAAGCTACCAGAACCTTAAGCACTGGTACTAAACATGGGCGTGCAGAGCAGGAACCGATCTTCCAGAACCGGCTGACCGATGAACAATGTGTGTGTGCTACTTACGAAGCATCGACCGGTTCACCAAATACCCGTGTGTGTGTGTGTGTGTGTGTGTGCTTCTTTGGTGCAATAGCATCGACCGCGCTAACGAATGCTTTGTTTTTTTTTTCCCGGTTCTTTTCGAACAGTTTGTGTGCGTGGTGGCAACCAGGGCCACCGTGGAGGAGGGGATCTGGCACAAGCGACGGGCGCCCAGGATGTGGTCCAGGCAGCCGCCGTTCCACGTGCGCATCGTAAGGCCGAACCCGGTGGGGATGCTGGGTCACATGCTGGGGACGGGAAAGATCAAGTTCGTCCAGAAGGTGCGTCTTGACCTTCTGAAGCACCTACTCCGTACATGCTGAACTTCCGCGTGTGTGTGTGTTTTTTGGGATGTTCTTTGTTGTTCTGTTCCTCAGGTTTCGAGGAAACGTTGCTCGGTGTGTGTGTGTGTATGTGTGTTTGTGTGAAGCAGGACGTGACGAGTTATCCACCGGTGTAACTCATGTTGGGCCTCGTTTTTTTTTGTGTGTGTGTGTATTTGTGCGAAGCAGGACGTGGCAATTTATCCACCGGTGTGGATCATGTTGGGCCGCGTTTTTTTTTGTTGTATGTGTGTATTTGTGCGAAGCAGGACGTGGCGATTGATCCACTGGGGTAACTCATGTGGGGCCGCGTTTTTTTTTTTGTATGTTTGTATTTGTGTGAAGCAGGACGTGACCATGCGGAAGACGGACAAGAGAACCGGCCGCTCCATCGAGATAACCCAGCCCATGACCGTCTTGAAGCGCATGGATGTAAGTCGCGATGGATTCTTGGCAGACGCCCGTGGTTCTTCGAATAAGTTGTACGTCGAATCGCTGGCGCAATCCCCTCTATGTTAAAAAGCTTCTTGAAAGAGCACGGAGACAAAAATGGCACGTGCCGACATGTGACTCGGCACAGCGGTGGTTGTGGAAGCATGAGAGCGTGGCAATGCTGTGTGTTTTCTTTTTGAAATCGTCGTCAGATAAGAGACACCATGTGTCGAGACAAGAGACCTCATTGCCCGCGGTGAGTACAAATGCTATGCATAGCCGCATATGCATGCCCATTTCCTACCGTCCATGTTTTACATCGAACCTGTGCGTGCGAACAACACAACTGCACACTTTGACACCGCTTTTTTGCGTGCCTGGTGCCTTTTTTCGAGCGACGTCGCTGTGGGACAACGTGAACGTTGACGTATTCTTTCGACTGACAACGCGTGCCGCGGCCGCAAGAACAAGGATGTTTACCCGCAGACAAGAGCGATCCCCATCACCAACACTGCCAACAACAACAATAACTACGTATAACAATACCCCACAGGGGAAACTGCCCAAGAATGTGCAGGAAATGATGGAGGCCCAGGAGGAGGGTAGAGAATACACGGGCACCAGCCGTCCCTCCAAGGGGCGCTGGGGACCTTCGAACATCGAAGAGGTGAGAGCCAAGGATAAGAACAACAATATGACCCAAGGGGCCAACGAGCCATAGACATCAACAACCACAACAAGTATTAGTTGAGGGAACAACGAGGCAAGGACAACAGCAAAGACACCAATATGAGATAAGGGGACATCTTTTCCCGAGAGGGAGAGGAAGTCGTCCCTCGGGATGGCCCGGCTGCCCCCCCCCCCCCCCCCCCCTCCCCCC